CCTCATGCTATAACCTCTCCTCAACCTCCAGACTCAGTCATCTTCTGCAGAAAAGAGTGAAAAGGAGAAAGGGGAGAAAGAGGGAGAGAAGGGAGAAAAACCAGAGCAAGGGGAGCTAGGGAAACCAAAGAGGGACAGTCCTAGACGTACCCTGAGGGTGTTTTCGATGTGGGACGGAACAGAAGACTCATACAAGGTTGGAAAGATCAACCCAAAGCTCAAGAACAAGGTGAGTGGTTTGAGTTGGATTTGGTAGGTCTTGTTTTTATTGTGTGATGGGGCAATTCGATGTTTTCTTGCGTGTTTGAAGTTTAGAACATGTCTAGGAATGTTAATTAATGAATTAGTAGAAATTGTAAGCAATCCTGAATCGATTCAAGTGAGAAAAAGTCTGAATAGAACCTGAAAATGGCGAAGGAGACGAAGTTCCAGTCCTGGTCCGCCGGACCAGGCCATAGTCAGCTCCGGACCGAGATTGGGGCGAATGAACGTAAACAAACCATTACCGTTTTTGAAAGTCAACGAGGGTAAACACAACTGCTTAGTGAATGACCCGGGTTGAACCCGGTAAATCCGTTCCCAGCGAGAACGGTGTTAAAATGATAATTATAAAACCCAAAATAAACCATCATTCATATCCTAATATCACATCATACAAAATCACAATCACAATCATGCCCGTATGATCACATCATAGGGTTAATCCATCAAATCATCGTCAACAGGACAACATTGACTCAATTCGTCAACCGGTACTGTCCAGATGACGCGCCAGATAATCCCAGAGGTGTGGTACTGACTCAATTCGTCAACCGGTACCAACACTAGTCCTCACCAATATAATCGTACTGACTCAATTCGTCAACCGACACGATTACATGGTTCCTCAGTACTCACCCAAGCAACAGTACTGACTCCACGTCGTCGACCGGTACTGACTGCGTGACTCACTGATCTAACTGACCGGCATAGTGGTACTAACTCAATTCGTCTACCGGTACCACTATGTGTCCACACGCACCTTGCACAGTACTGACTCAATTCGTCAACCGGTACTGGCTCCACATCCACACGTTTCCGCAATAGTACTGACTCAAATCGTCGACCAGTACTATTACAGAAACACCCACACACACCAGTGCTGACTCCAGGTTCGTCAACCGACACTGGTTCCACATCCACACGTTTCCGTAATAGTACTGACTCCATGCCGTCAACCGGTACTATTACAGAAACACTACACGCACGCACCAGTGCTGACTCCAAGTTCGTCAACCGGCACTGGACACGTGTTCCTCCCCATCGCACTAATACTGACTCCACATCGTCAACCGGTACTAGATACGAGGCTCCTCGAGGTAATCCAATCACAACCATGCTTCCATCGTGCTACACCACGACCCCGTCGTAGGCCACACGAGTAAGCTACAAACATAGCACACACCGTGTATATCATTCCCGACAACAATCACACCTGTCACGATACCCAGACCCGGTACCCGGTACCATTTAACGCCATACATACTACCCCACATAACAAACACAACGTTTCACTCGATGTTTGTCTCATGCCTTACCACGCGTTAAAGTTATTTTGTTTATTTCCTTTCTTTTCCTCTTATGAATTCACGTTATTCCGGGCTCGTTTTCCATAGTTCAGTTGGTCTATAGATGGATTGGATCAGTCCAAGGTCTCCATTTCTTCCCAAGACCAATCGGTTTGTCTTCAGCGCATTTCTGGTCTGGACCGGTCGGTTCAACCGCTGGACCGGTCGGTCCAGGTCTTTCGGTTCATCCGAGGCCATTTTCCTTTTGTTTCGGTCTGGACCGGTCGGTCCAGGCATTAGACCAGACGGTCCAGGTGTTCCGTTGAGTCCCGAGACCTCTCGGTGTAATAAATTTTCATTTTCGGCTGGACCGGTCGGTCCGGGTGGTTGACCGGTCGGTCCAGCCTTCGTTTAGGCCTTATTTCGTCTTTCAGGGTCCAGACCGTCAGTCCAGGGTCTGGACCGGTCGGTCTGGGTCCTGGACTTGAACTCGTTCACGATTTCCAGATTTCCAGATTTTTGCTCCGACTTTGATTGCTCATATCTCCCTCGTTTCTTATCCAAATTAAGCCCCGTTTGTTGTTAAATGTTCATTGGGATGTCTTTTTTCATATCCAAGCAATAGATTCTTTAAATCTCATATATACACGATGAGAAATGATTCGTAATGTCTGTACCTCCAAAAATCGTGATTCTGCAATTTTCAAATTTTCCACAATTTTTGTTTGTTCATATCTCCTTCGTTTCTCAGCCAAATTGAGCACCATTTATATCTAAATTCTCATTGAAATGTCTTCTTTCAGATGCAATCAACGAATCATCGAGATAACACAATCACATCGATGAAAACGAGCTTACACAGACGCAACTCAAACCACTCACCTTTGAACAGATTCGAATCTGATTTTTGGCCGGAGTTCGTGGTGTTTTCCGGTGATTCCAATACCGGAGATCCTTCTAGACCTTCTAAGGCTGCCCCTCTTTGCTTTCTAGAGCTCCCTTCCTCTTATCTCCCTCTCTTTCTCTTCCTATCTCTCTCTTTCTTCTCTTTCTCCTAAGTTTTTCCTCTGCAGAGAAAATGGCTGAGATGCCATCTTTGCAGGTGTTTTTCTTCGACAAGGACGAGTCAAATGGGCTCTAGCTCATTCCCACTGTAAAGCCTGCATCGTGAAGGGTCCAGGGGTGGTCGCGACGCATCATTTGGCTGCCTACACGCGGCGAAAAGGGTGGTCAAAGTCGGCAACTCGAGCTGGATTGCACATGTACCTGTCGTGGGCTGGACCGGTCGGTCTGACACTTGGACCGGTCGGTCCAGGCATCCTGTTTCATCGTTCTCTCGTCTCTTTCGCGCGTGGTGATGCCCGGACCTTTTCCCGGTACCTTAGGGTCCATTTTTAAGGTTTTTAAGACCCGTCGATCTAATTCTTCTCTTCTTCTTTTTTTCGCGGAACTAATTAAATATTTGAATCCGGATTCGGGGTATTACAAACTGACTTTTGGTCAGCTCCGGACCAATCCTCTTTTCCAAATTATTAACCGCATTTATTTAATTATTTATTCTCGAAAATAATTAAATATTTTTCTTCAGGATCCGAGGTATTACACTAGGCCTTCACTTTCGTTTGGTCAGGGGCTTGGCTCAGCGCTGAGGGGTGAACTTGTGGGCAGTCTCTTGGTCCACCGGAGCAGGGTTGGTCAGGGGTGGACCATATGAACTCTGCGAACTTTCTTCGTCTTCTCTCCTCGGCCCGACTGGATGAACTAAGTAGACTTGGTCCGCCGGAGTGGAATCTGATCAGGGGTGGACAATGGTCTGTTTTCTCCGATTCTCGCCGAATTTGTGCGTTATGCCCTCAGAATCCTGCCAATGTCAAGAAATAGTCCTGGACCCCTAGGATGGCTCTAAAAATGCCTAAGAATGTGTGGAAACCGTTTAGAAACCAAAGGCATATTCGTATAAAATCCAGATAAAATCCGAGCCATCAAAGAACCATGAGTGGAAGGAGTAGACCATCTTGTCTCAATGACTTGTTTAAACAGAGGATAAAGCACAATATGGTGGAAGTATTTAAATGGCTTACGAAGCTGTGTTTGTGCATCAGAAACATATACTACATAAGCTGCATGATTGAATCAACCTGGGGGTGAGAATTCTACATATGCCGTTTGAAATCTGTCATACCAAGTCGCATTAGTCATTGCTCTATCTAGCTCCACAACTAAAGAACTTTTAGTCCGATTGTTAAACCAAGTGAAGAACAAGCCTTTTCTCTCGATGTCCGACAACCCAGAGTCTAGAACTGTTTCCTCCATAGCATCCATTCCCTGGCTCGGCTGAATAATATTTGGATAATCAAATCTTTCATTCGGATACAACGGTTGGTTGAAGTCTCCTATCACAATCCAAGGGGAGTGTTTCATAGATGGATTCTGTATGTGGCTAGATTCTTTGCATATACTAGAGTTGTAGTAAAACCAATATTGAAAGAAGTGATGTCGATTCTGCAAGTCACTCCTTCGGCAGTGGAGTCATAATTTAAAACCTTATCCAGAGGATGCCATACAATCCAAATTCTACATGAATGGTCAGTCTCGTGGTTACAGTAGTGAAGCCAATCCTGGGGGATCGTTGCCTTGATTCTGAGCTCATTCTCTTTAGTGATGTGTGTCTCGAGTAAACCTCCCACAAGTAATCTATTATCCAAAATCCGCTTTCGTAACAAAAGATGTTTCCTTCGGCCATTTAGGCCTCTAACGTTTATGGTAAAAAAACATGGGTTTCTATGGGAGTTTAGTTGATGTTAGTGGCCTTCCGGCTACCTGCTTTTCCTTTTCCTTTCCCTTTTCCTTCCCTTTGACATGTTGGATTTTTACTGGATTTTGGGTTGGAAGAGCTGGATTGGGGTTAGTCTTGTTTGGAACAGAAGCAAGTGAAGGTTCTACCAATGGAGCTCTGGAGGGAGTAGTAATTTCTGAGACAAGAGGAGTAGGGTCCTTGGGAGAGATCTCCACTGATGGTGGAGCAAGGTTATCACTCTGTTTAGCCACAAATGTTGAGGGACTAGAGCTTTGTGGAGGTTTTGGGGTCAGTCTAGGAGCCTAAGTGATCACATTCTAGAGAGCATAGTCCAGTTGATAAGTCTCTGGAGAATGCTTAGAAGCTACCCCTTGTGGAGCCAAAATCGGGGAACCTGGCAGTTATGTGATTGATGTGGCAGAGTCTACCCACCTATTTTGGGAACGAGTGGGGACCGACATAACAACCTGTCGAGCCGAAGGATTCAGATGACAGTGGGATCCAGTATGTTCAACTTCCAGACAAATATTACAATGAGGCGGTAACCAATCGTACGCATCACCAATACGACAAGACATTCCTGATGGGAGGCTTACATTGATCTCCTTTGGCAGCGGATTATGTAAATTCACTTCGATGTAAATCCTAGCAGTGCCCACATTCTCTTTACTTGCAGTGGCTCGGTCCAAATACAAGTCGTTATCTGGCTTTAATGTGGGACTTGGTTGAACGTGACCCAAGTCGGCACAGAGGACAATGGAGGTTTTGAGGAATTATGATTCGGGTTCCATGTCGATATGAACATGGGGCATGATCCGACGTACCAGATGTTCCGTCCAAGCGCATGAAGTTTGGTGGGCTCATCCGGCATCTTAAAGAGAAAGGTACTTTCTCCCAAATCCTGCACCTTAACTCTGCCCTTCTTTCTTGGCCATAGAGCATTAACTAATCAGATTACTCGACCCATCGAAGGAGGGATGTTGTAAAATTGTCCAAGCAAGAAATCTTTCCACTCGTCCAAGGAAATAACGAGTGACTCGCTTGGAATGACAATCGAGGGAATCTTGAAGGTAGAATTGTTGATGTACCAGTCCGCTTCAGAGTACGAAGAGAGGACTGTAAAATCTTGCTCCACATTGGAGCTTCCGGTGGGGAATCAACTCCAGAGGTAGTTTGGAGGAAGAGAGTGGGAGAGTTGAGATACAAGCTCGGCTCGTCGTAATCTCTATTGTACTCTCTTGTGGTTGGGAGATCTCCAGATTTTCTCTTGTAACATAAAGTGTTGGTTTGAAACTTGCGTCAAAGATGCTCCTTGTTTACGCAACGGTGAGTTTGTGAGGCAAAAGCTACGCAGAAGAGCTTTGGAAGTGGGTGAATGGATAGTTGGAGTGGGATTGAGTTTCATCTCCACATCGGTTAGAGTGGTGGGAAGAGGGATTTGAGACGCAGGTTTTGGTGTAGTCTTCGATGGTACAGAGCTAGACCGAAGCTGAGGAGACATTTTGTGGTGGAAAGGGAGTCGGCAAGGCGACGACGCCAACCGGATTTGGGAGGTGAAAGAAGTGAAGGAAATGCTTTGATGAAGAAAAGGAATTGGTAAAATTAGAGGGATACAAAAGAATTTTCTCTCTCTAACGTCATATCACATCTTGCTTTTTTTTTTCCATTGTTCATATAGTTACAAGTTTATATACACACATAGACAAGAGGTGGACATTTCGATATTCGGTTCGGAATATTCGATTCTATTTTCAGTTTTTTTTTGTTTTTTAAAATTCGGTTCAGTTAGATTCAATAAAATTCGGTTCTCTAAAAACGTTATCGTTCAGATAATTTGAATGGTTAGGTTTGAAATCAGTAGCGAGTTTTTCAATATGGTTTAGTTTGTTTACAATATCGAGTTTTTTTATCGGTTTAAAAACGGTACTGAATTTGTCAATTCAGTTTCAGATAACGAGGAGCACGAGTAACAATGGAATAGCAACTGAAGAGGAGGCAACATCACGTACAGACTTGATTTGTGTTAAACTTGAAAACGATATTTTCCTTTGCGTTGTATTTTAAGATCGGACGTGTGATAATTAAAGGTTGTATTAAACTATTCCGCTGCGCATTTATGAAATAAAGGTTTTAATTTCCCGTACTTTTGGTTTTGTTATTTTTTTATTGGTTTCATCCATGTGGCATATCTTGTTCACGGGAAGCAGGATTCAGGTGTCACACCTGGTCCAGAGCTGACCAGTTCTGGTCAGCCAGACCAGGTGTGTTGCGTGCTCAGCCAGTCCGTCGAACCATGCCGAAGACGAACTAACCAATCGAAATCAAAGTCTGGTCCAGAGCTAACCAGTTCTGGTCAGCCGACCAGGATCACGAGCTTCCTCAGTCAGCCAGCGGACTCCAACCGAACGTCTTGACTAGACCTAAAGAACAATTGGTCCGGAGCTGACCTACTCAGGTCCGTTAGACTTGAACGCCTCTGCCATTCGCTAGTCCGCCGCTCGCCTACCCAGTGAGCCGGATTGAATCCACTGAAGACCTGGTCCGGAGCTGACCAGTATTGGTCAGCCGGACCAATCCTCTGCGCCGCTTTCTCTACCTTCATTTTACGTCTGGTCCGGCTGACCGCGTGACCTGGAACTGATTAAGTCCGATTTTTGTCGGACTTTTGAGAGGGGGGCTCGATTTGGGAACGAAAAGAACGGCGATTTTTTCTCATCCAGAAGACCTAGGACCGGAATCTTGAAGATTGAAGACATCATTGAGCATCTCTTTCCCTTTCTCTCTCTATGTTTCATCTTGTTGTCTCGGTGTTCTTGGACATGAGTAGTGAGTAGTTTCTTGTTGTGGGATGAGGGATTAGCCGTCATGTAAGGATATTTGTATTCACCTTTGGACCCAAGATTGTATTTAGTTTATGCTTTCAAACTCTTGCAATGAATGGAATTGTGTTCGATGTATATCTCTCATCTCTCTTGAATGAATCTTTAGGGAGACCTGAGATTCATGAATAGAGTGATGCAATTGCTTGAGTTTTTATTACTAGAGGTTCATGAATGGTGTTTAATGTTTTCCATTGGATGAAAATATTGTGGGTAGATTTTAGGATTGTGAATTCCATGGAGACATGGGTTCTTGGTTCTTAGATGCATTCATTCAAACGGATCGAGATTGAATACGAAGAAATTCGGTTCAAATCAATCTAGGATTATGACAAGGGCGTTTAATGCATCCGGAGTTTCACTCTAGGCCACGAAAGTGGATGTGGTGCTCTCTTGGATAGCGGGTAATTCGACTAGAAAGAGCCGAACCTAACCTTAGTCTTCGAATCCCTCACTTTAGAACAAACATGATCTAGGTCGATAACTCCTTACGGCATCCTTGCATGATCGGTGAATCCCGATTCCCATAACCTTTCCCATCGATTATCTTCTCTTGAATTTTGATTGTCTTTGATTTTAGTTTCTCTCTTTAAATTTTCTGTGATTCCAAAGAAAACCAACAAAAACAATTTTCCAATCTTATTTTTACCATTTTCCTAGTTTTGATCGATTCCTAGCTTAACCGCAATAAGTCCTTGTGTTCGACCTCGGTACTACGACATCCGTACACTTGCGGATTCGTTGTGTGTCGGGTATAAATTTAAAGCTCGTTATGCAAGTGACTATTCTTGTCAATACGGGCTC